GTTTGAAGGCGCAAACCCTCCCCTGACCTGGAATAGTAGTGTAACAGTACAACATAAGAAAAAACTATAAACATCAGTTAAAAAATGTACATTTTAAAATTGCATTCAATAAAATCACATAATTCAAAAGACTTGATGATATTAGTTATTTTTTTAAATAATTGTTATAATTCTGGTACCTATTATAGAACACAAATAGTTTTTTTTATGTAAGATGACCAAAATTGTAGTGTAATTCCCCAAAAAAATACCATTCACCCCTCCCCCTCCTACCGAAGATGAATGGTCGTTAAAACTCAGTAGTATTCCTTTGTATAAAACTGATAATAGTATCATCCTACGATAATAGTTTTCCATTCGTTTGATGTGTTTGAGTTTTTCATTTTTCCGTTTGTTAAGGGATTTTCCATTTTGAAGTTTCCTTGGAGTTAGGTATTTTTGTTATTTTACTTTTTGCCAGTTATGTTAAAATACATTTAGAATGTTAAGAATCTATTGAAAAACAGATAGAGTTTTTAGAATTTGTTTATAAAAATAAGGAATGTTAAGAATTTGTTTAGACAAGGTCATACATTTTTTCTAATTTTCCGAATGTTAAGAAGACAAATTTCAGACAAATCAGACAAAAAGTGGTCGCTACCAAATCTAATGATTTTGTAATGACAGAAGCAGTAGGAACACAGAACTTCCAGAATATTGTAAAAGTTTAAGTTACGCATCGTAGATTATGATCATTCTGGAATTATTATGCAAGTCAAATAGAAATTTCTAATCATTCCATCAGTATCTTCGATTGTTCCAGTGAATTCTAAACTACACAATAACATTATTTTGTAAACAACTATAAACAGGTCACAACCCAATTATGTAAAAATCTTATAAGGCCACACAAAACAATTTAGGCCAAGATAAATAATCATAATAATTAAAATCTCATAACAACGTTTTTGCACTTGTATAGTACACTTAAGAACTATGCGTATCATCCGTTCAATTTTGTTAAACTCGAATATGTTCGTATGTAAATGAGTTTGACTATACAGTTAAACAACCCGTATTTCGATTAGTGGTATATATTACGTCGTAGACGCAGTCATGGTCATCGTCATTATACATCACCTACTTTGCATGATGTTCTTATTAATGACTTGCTGCCATTTATACAAAAGCCACTAGGTATTCATGACATTCGCACGAAATTGTATTCATTACCCCTTTCACAACTTCATTCTCTGTTCAATTTATGTTTGGAAACCACTGTTACAAACCCTCATTCAAACCAATACAAACTTACAGCTATCATTTCGGATATTGCAAGTCACAGACTTTTCAAACCTGTTCGCATTGGAAAAGATAAAAAAGAGAAAAGCTATTTTCTTAAACTTTCCTTTGCCAACAAAGGTCTCGATGGCGTCAACTTAGGCAATATCCTTCATCATAAATTAGTTCAGTCGAAAATACCTCCTTATTTTAAAGATCAGTCTGTACCAATAATTTCTTATACCTATACCAAACCAATTGCAACTAAAATTTTCGATTACAAACACGTTTTGCAGGATCTCAACATTGACGACTTCAAGTCTAAACCTCCTGATTGCACCTGTGCTAGTTCCCAATTCACATATAATCCGGCTGGCCACGTTATTACCGGAGACCTCAACATTGTCAATAACACTTCCCTACGAAATTTGTTATCCAAAGGTCCGAAATATCGTGAGCCTAAATCCATCAATTGGAAATACAACTTCAAAATACTGATGGATTTAGTTGAGAATTATGCCAGGAAATGGGCTAAACGCGAGAAAGAAGACTTAGATACTCTTTCCGAATGGATTAAGGCTGTGAGGTCGTTGATACAAATCCGAATTAAGAAACTAAATGGGCATATCAATACCCACGCTACATCAATTTTTAAAGACCCAAATCTTGCAAAACACTTGACCTACCTCCATGACAAATATGTTGTTGTCCCCGCAGATAAAGCCCCAAACAACATCGTGTTTGTGTGTAAATATCTTTACATAAACTGCTTGATAAATGAATTAGGTATTGACAATTCACTTGGAAACTCAACATATACCCTCACGACACTTACCAAAGAGGAAATCCTAGATAATCATAGGTCTGTTCTACGTTCCTTTGGAATTTCAACCAAAGATGAAGAACTGGATCTTCCATCATTTTATTGGATACCTAAACTACATAAGTGTCCTTACAAACAACGGTATATTGCTGGGTCTTCCAAGTGCTCCACGAATGCTCTTTCTAAATTATTAACATCTATTTTATCAGCAATCAAAGCCGGGCTCTAAAGTTATTGTGAAACTGCCTATTCTAGAGGTGGCGTGAATCAGATGTGGATACTAAAAAATTCCAAAAATCTTTAAGAGTACATACAATCTAAGACTCTCTTATCTTGCAATAGAATTAAAACATTTGACTTTTCTACATTTTACACAAGTATTCCCCATTCCAAACTAAAAGACAAATTGAAAGAGTTGGTATTACTTTGTTTCATTAAAAAGAATGGCGAACGTAGATACAAGTATCTTGTTTTGGGGAGTGATAAATCCTACTTTGTAAAGAATCACTCGGATTCAAACAAAAAATTCTCTGAAACTGACATTATCAAGATGCTTGATTTCTTGATTGACAACATATTTGTTACGTTTGTAGGACGTGTTTTTCAACAGACTGTCGGAATTCCAATGGGAACCAATTGTGCCCCTCTTCTTGCCGACTTGTTTCTTTATTATTATGAGGCTGACTTCATACAGGAACTTCTTAGGAAGAAAGATAAGAAGTAAGCAATATCCTTTAACTCTACGTTCCGCTATATAGATGATGTTCTCTCACTAAATAATACAAAATTTTGTGACTATGTTGAACGAATCTATCCCATCGAACTAGAGATAAAGGATACTGTGGATTCATTTATTTTCGTGGGTATCAATTTTCGTGGTTTGAGGAAATATAGTACTTTCGTTGACATTTGATTTCGTGGTTTTGCCAAAGTCTGCATACACGCTTTTAGAAGTTTATACTTCGTCGAACCTTGAAATTCGTGGTTTACCTATACCCACGAAATCAACGAAAATTGGTACCCCACGAATAATAATGAATCCACAGTACTACAGATACAGTTAAGTCTGCCTCATATCTTGACTTACATCTAGAAATTGACAATGAGGGTCGGTTGAAAACAAAACTTTACGACAAAAGAGATGATTTCAGCTTCTCAATTGTGAACTTTCCATTTCTATGTAGCACCATTCCAGCAGCGCCTGCATATGGAGTATATATCTCCCAATTGATACGATATTCCCGGGCTTGTGTTTCCTAACATGATTTCTTTGATAGAGCATTGCTGCTCACAAGGAAGCTATTAAACCAAGAGTTCCAAATGGTGAAGTTGAAATCATCCCTTCGTAAATTTTACGGACGCCATCACGAGTTGGTTGACCGTAATGGAATAACCGTTTCACAGATGATATCGGATATGTTCCTTATGTCGTAATTACAATACCCTTCCCTTTTCACGAATGTGACTTACCGAATTAGACTATTTACCGGATTTGTAATAACATAAGCAACACGACGGGTGCCACATGTGGAGCAGGATCTGCTTACCCTTCCTGAGCACCTGAGATCACCCCCAGTTTTTGGTGGGGTTCGTGTTGCTTAGTCTTTAGTGTTCTTTGTTGTGTCATCTGTACTATTATTTGTCTGTTTGTCTTTTTATTTTTGGCCATGGCGTTGTCAGTTTGTTTTCGATCTATGAGTTTGACTGTCCCTCTGGTATCTTTCGTCACTCTTTTTTTACAGTCCTTGCGAGATTCTTAATGAACGGAATTTTACAAAAACCTCTGTAATAAATCTTTAAAAATTCTCAAATGCAGTTCCTCATACGCATCATTCTATCATAATCTTTAAATTACAATTTATCAAAATCAAAATCAATAACTTTGACCTGCGATTCGGTTGCACATTTATACTGCACTCGTTCTATTTGAGCAGTCAAAATGCGTTGACTGTATATTTTTATGTCATATACAGTCACTGACCCGATATCACTTTTCCTCATGAATATCTAAATAGAAGAGCCGAACTATATTTAAATATTCATCACGACCGCTTCAACCTGTAGCGTGGAACAACTCAATCTTATTTCTTTTAGAATTGTTGGAAAAACACATTTCACTTGTTGATATGTTTTGTTTAAAACCTATAAATTATCATGTTTTATGCTTTTTGTTGATACTTTAGTCAATACTCAAACGAATTCTTTCATAATCGATTGGTTTCAACAGGTAATGTACATTTCATTGTGTTATATATTTCTCCGCCAGATGTGAGGCCTTTTTAAAGGGGGATTTTTCCCAATATTTGAATCAAATATATAACAATAACACAATAAACAACAATTGAAAATGTTTTTTTTTCTAGATTGCAGTATAAAGACAATAATAGTGTATTGACTTGACATATCAACGATAAAAAGATTCGGCCCGAAACGTGGAAAAAGCTCGGCAGAGCCTCGCATTTCCCCATTTCTAAGCCTCATTCTTATACCGTTGATATGTCAAGTGAGTACACTATTATTGTCTATAAACATGTAAGCCACATTCTGTATGTGCTTGGCCCAAATTAGGATTATGTTATACAGTAATTGTCTTCAGTTGCTGTCTGCAATAATTATTTGTCGTTTATTGTTTTAGAGTATAGATTGTATTGCACAGATTGATTTGATATAAAATTTAGATACGAAAGTAAACAGAAAAATAGACTGTGCTTAAGCAGTTTAATGTTGTTCGACACTGAACTTAACAATCCAAACCCTGTGGTTAATTTTAGGTATTCAAAATGATTTTGTGCTACACAATTAATTATTGAACAAATTTTACATATTAATTGAAATTGTTTTATCTAATCCATTGGCAAACATTTTTAACGTTATACAGGTCTCTCATTGCAATAACCAGAATACATTTATATTTCAGGACCAGATTTTCGATCATTCAACTGCAGGTGTTATAATGAAACCAAACATGCATGTGACAACATGGAAACCTTTTAACCAATCAAGCTCATTGTTTATAACGAAATACCTAAAGGCTACGAATCCCGTTTGGGACCGAGAAAAATATGCACATATGCCAAATCGTACACATATAGGATCACCTAGTCTCCATGATTTTAAACCAAATAAAGGATTCAAATGGTAAAATTGAAGATACATATAAATAAGAAATAAAAAATTACCACAAAAAAAAAACCGAAAAGTTGAAGTGCTTTGTCTTTCTAGGTTGTCTCTGCTGACGGGAGCTAAATAGTAATATTTTGAGATATTTTGATATTGTATAATTTGTAAAACGATAATTTACAATTAAAACTAATGTTTATAATCAAACCAGTACCATTGCACTGGTTACCGGGCAGATGGACCTCTCGTCGAGTACAATTCATCTGTTTAAGTGCAAACACAGTGGTATTCATATTGAGATGTGATATCTTGTTCTATCCACACAAGGTAACTGTCCTTTTAAGATAAGATACATATAAATATTCTTCTACCCCACGACTCCGTTGATAACGATATTTCTCCACTGTAGATACATGTATAGTCAAATTTTCAACTTTATAAATTGAGGTTTACCGACATTTTTTTATGTTTTGAAAATGTAACTATCGAGAAAAGACATGTATCGAAGACACGTAAAATAAATTTTTTTCTGTAAAGATTTGATGGCAAATATCACTTGGGGGGTTACAAATGCCCTTTTTTCTGTATTTATGTCATATTCTATCAGGTCTTTGGAATTTTAAAGTATCCTCATTTGATTTATTCCACCTCTAGCATATGTAGCTTTACAATAATTTCGCCCGGTTTTGATTGTTGATAAAGTTAATGATTTAGAAAGAGGATTTGTTGATCACTTGGAAGATCCAGCAATATAACGTTGTTAGTTAGGACACTTATGTAATTTTGGTATCCAATTCTGTGAAGAAAGATCAAGTTTTTCATCGTTTGTTGAAATTCCAAAGAAACGCAGAACAGACCTATGATTGACTAGGATTTCTTCCATGGAAAATGTCGTATGGGTATATGTTGAATTTTCTTACCTGTTTTGTCGATTGGCATTGTAATTTAAATTTGTATATTTAAAGGTATACACCATCAACAAGCGATATAACTCTCCACCATTACAGATCATGTCAGAAAATTTGGTGGAAACTAGTTAAATCTGATACTAATGTAGTGAACGACAAATACAGTATACAAAACGAGGACGATCTTGCGGTCAGCACATGCCAATATTTCCGTCAGTACCAACAGAAGGACATTGAAATAATTGGCCAACATATTGAACCAAGAGTATTGAAACTCAGACATATGCTTAACATTAAAAATTGAATATAACTAAGAAACTAGTTTGAATAATGAACAATGGTTTTAAGATTATTACTTTTGACAGTTTTTGTCGGTTCATAAAAATATAGTTTTTGGAACATTATTTATATTATATGAACATGCAAAAAGTAAAATCACAAAAATACCGAACTCCGAGGAAAACTCAAAAAGGAAAGTCCCCAATCAAACGGCAAAATAAAAAAAAAAAAACAAACACATCAAACGAATGGATAACAACCGTCATATTCCTGACTTGGTACAGGCATTTTCTTATGTAGAAAATGGTGGATTGAACCTGGCCTTACAGCTAGCCAAACCTCTCATTTGTATGGCAGTCGCATCAAATTCCACGATTGACACGTGCAACTTTCCGCGATTGACACGTGTTCAAAATTAGGAGAAGATTTTTTCGAATTTATATGTCACTTCCCTCTGCTAAACACAACCAATGGGTCATAAAATATTTTAAAATTTACAAAATCAAATTTTAATTTGAGTGACTTCGTTTTTGCTATGCAATAAGATTAGAAGCAGCTGAAATATACCATTAAATAGTGTACTTTTGTTATTGCTACCAACATACATAAATCGTCGCCTAGTAGCAGAAATTGAAACAGCTGAATGCATATAACCTTTCGTTTTCTTTTGATTGAATGAATGATAATATGATTGAGTGTTGGTGCTAATAGTCACTTTCAGTAATCAATAGATATAGGAAGATGTGGTATGAGTGCCAATGAGACAACTCTCCATCCAAGTTACAATTAATAAAAGTAAACCATTTTAGGTCAAGGTACGGCCTTCAACACGGAGCATTGGCTCACACCGAACAGCAAGCTATAAAGGGCCCCAAAATATTACTAGTGTAAAACCATTCAAACGGAAAAACCAACGGTCTAATCTATATAAAAACGAGAAACGAGAAACACGTACACGCTATTTCAAGGCGGCTACTTTTTATAGGTGGACGAAGGTTGAGTACCCGGAGAATACCACCGAACTTCGACTGTTTTCTTTTGAAAGAGGAAGATGGCTTATCTCACCAATTTTGTTTCAATCATTGACTACGTTAAAATTATATGTATTGAAAGAGAAATATTTCGAAACAACAATATTAATGGCCTTCATCAGTGTTGATCTTTTTTAAAATGGAATAAAATTATCTGAATATTCTTTGTAAAATGTTTTAATTCCCCTTCCCATTTGAGAAAATGTTGGAAGCCTTTCTCTTGAATGTCACAGAACAAATAAATTTAAGAACTGAAATTAAATGCTGAACATAATTAGCATGTTTTGACTTCTACATATACATTGACAATGTACCTATTATTAATCCATCGTGTGTGTGCGTATTTATACATCACAAAAAAGGTAACTACAATTTATACATCTATTAATATTACTGATGTATACATGTTAAATTTAATGCCACCATGGTGAAGAAAATAAAGCTCTCTGAAGTGATAGTGCTGTTCATTACAAAATGAATTGCATGCGGTTTAAATCATAGAGTGTGTGGTATGACTGTCTGGTCTGTTAGATCACCTGGATATATGGCTTCTTTTTTGTCCTTACTCCTGTGCATATTTAGATTGATGATTGTACTATCATAGTGTAGGGCCTACACTGTAGGCCACAAAACGGGTCATGCATACTGTGCTCTGAAAAATTCTAGAATGTCAGTTATAATTTATAATATTTCATATGTGGTCTCCATATATCTAGTAAACCGCTGTTCGCCTCGAGTGCTGAAGGTCGTGGGTACTAACCCCGGCCGGGTCAAACCTAAATTTTAAAATTGGTATTTGCTGTTTCTCCGTAAGTACGCGACATTAAGGAGTAAGAGCAAAGACTGGTTGGCTCGGAATCAGAATAATGTGTCCGGTTAAGGTGACATGTCTTCCTCCGGACTGTTACCTTGTTAACTAGCACGTTAAAAATTCCGGCTCGGCGTGTCGGACTAGTACAAAGCAGGGTTAATATTCATATTACATTTACATGTTCTCGTCTTGAATATGCATTTCAATTTGCTGCTAGACGTTAAGCAGCCATCTATCATCATCATTATTTATCTAGTTAGTCAAAGCAACCATTCGCCAAACGCCCAAATGAACACAAGAGCGATATAATTATATCCCGTTAAAAAATTGTCAAGCGTTAACGTTACAATATTTCCTTCTAACCAACTGACAGTAAAAAAACATTTATACTGTAGCTAGAACACTTCCTGTAGTCTTTATATACCAAATATAGGAACAAAGGGATATTCGTGCAATGTCAACTTCCTGGCAAATCACAATTCATCAGAATCTGAGGGTCGATTATGGATAGAAAATAACTTTTTTTTGTGTTAATATTTTCATTAATATAATTCATGCAATTTGTAGCTGCAGTATACAAACAATATAAATTCAATGACAGAATAATATTAACTGTTTTTGCATTCGGATCGAAACTGTTAACGGTAAACCTCTCCCTTCCCCAGTTTTTCAGCTTCATACAAAAAAATTGATATTTTTCTGACATTGACCTTATAATATTATTGTAAAATTAATATAAAAGAAAAATCCCTATGTGTATTTTGTACCGATGTATATCCTTTTTAAAGTTAATATAATTTTGTCTTAATTCGAAATGGGGGAAATTGGGTTTTTTTTGCTAATGCTTAGGTAAAACAAATAACAAATTGGCTTTTTAAAAGTAATTTCTACTAAATATGATTTTTTAACATTTTCTGTATTGACGTTTTAGATTTTAATTAATGTAATCTATCTATAACTAAAATAAGTTAAATTTACTGATAGATGCAGTTGACGACTATACGAGAAACTGGGTAAAGTGCGAATCTGATGATCAAATTGGACACTGTATCTGTATTGATCAAAGCTTTTCACACATGCATTTAGAAGCGCATTCAAAGTCTACGATGTACAATGAGCTCACGGGTTTCTGACGCATTCAAAAAAACTCGAGGAGGTTTTGGATGCTTTATCATCCCTTCGTGACAAATATGATGTTGTTCCAGCACAACAAAAACCCAAACATTATTGTTTCATATGCAACAACCATTATTTGAAATGTTTCACTGAAAAAATTAGAGTTCACTACACATAACCTTGCATCATTTAAGAAAGAGGAGATTTTAGAAAATCACAAATCCATCCTCCTCTTCTTTGGTTTTTTCATGAAAGGGCAATGCAAACCCCCAATCTTTAAACTGAATACATAAACTTCACATTAATCCATATAAAGTACGATATATAGCCTGGTCGTTAAGATGTTAGATGAAACATTCTTCAGAAGTTCTTACAAATATTATTTCTACAGTATAAGATAGCCTTCAGAAATATTACGATGAGGTATATTCAACCAGTGATGTCAATCAGATATGGATTCTAAAAAAATCGTACTGAACATGCATGTCTCTGAAATTCAAGCGACCAACACTCAATCAATCAATCAAACTCGAGTTTTAGACAAATGTGATAACTTTTCCATTCCAGTTGTCAACTTTTCAATTTTTAGCAGTAACATACCCTCTGCTCCATAGTAAAGTGCTTACATATCTTAATACGTTGCGCTCGTGCACACTTTACATACTCCATTAACAAGAATGTGTTCCTCACAAAAAACTGCTCAAACAGATTTATTAGAGAAGAACGACTAGAATTAGCACTACACAGGTTTTATGGTCACCATCACGAGTTGATTATTTAAATTGATACAATTTGTTGGTGTCTCAAACTACTAGCGAAATGTTTTCGAGGATACCGGTTTAGTCGTCTGATCTGTAATGTAATCTCACCAATTATGTGCTATTCAATATGTGAATTCGCCTTGTGGTTAATTCATGTATAGCAAGATATTCTTACCATGTCAACGCACCTGGTCTCGCTCCATTTGGAGTTAATGCGGTTCATAAATTAGTGTCTGTATTTTACTTGATTTGTCTCTTCCTAATCGATTTAGAAGATTCGAACAAGAGCTAGTTTTTTGTTTTGTTTTTTTCGTTCTTTCTATTTGTGTATTGTCTTTCGTATAAATTTACTCCATTTACAACCTTAAGCATATCAGTGAATGTTAAATTATTCAGTTTCCCTCTCTGTAAATTTATCTTTGTTTATCCTGCAAGCTGGTGTCTTATCATGGATTAAAGCTCCGCGCAATGCCGGACTATTTTTGTGTATTGATGTTGACGAGTGTTGTATAAACTTTCGTGACCTCAGAATGTGTATTGCAGTCTAATTTCAATGACGTATTGCTCCGTCTGTGAATGTTCCAGTCTCCGATCCGCAACCCACTTTCCGCTCATTGATAAACATGAACAGCAGGATTAACTCCATTTTCTACGGCGCTTATCTTCAAGTTCAAAACTTGAATGTGTAAATGTGTAACACAAAATCAACCATGCAACAATGTCAATAATCAGTGAATGTCATGGACAGTTCGAAATTCTGAAGCGTAGGACAAATCAAACATTTTTCTCTTAAATCGGACAAAGTTTTGTTATTTCTTTTTACTATTGAAATTATTTGTTATGTTATAATAAATAACATAGCATTTTGAGAGTATTGCATGGCAATACATAGACCCCTACCGGTTAAAAATTCATTGAATTGGAACAAAATGCTAACTTGATCTTTAACTTGCCATGGTGTTAACTACATAACAAATATCAAGTCAATATCTTCAAGCAAGACGAAAAAAAGTGTTGAAAACTGATTATTTAAGTGAGTTTTCTAAGTCCAAGGGCCATAACTCTGCACAAAATCATCAGACCGGATCAAAAGTTGATCATTATCTGGAACTTGTCATGATAAAACTATACATTAATTATAAAACCAATATCTTCAACCATGACAAAAAAAGAGCTGAAAACTGATTTGAGAGAATTTTCTAAGTCCAAGGACCATAATTCTGCATAAAATCATCAGACCGGAACATAATTCAAACTTGACCTGTAACTTGTCATGATAAAACAATACACCAAATATCAAATCAATATCTTCAAGCACGAAGAAAAAAGTGTTGAAAAACGATTTGCCGGACTGACGGATGAACAGACATATCGGAGTGCAAACCTAAAGTCCCCTTTGAC